TAACGGATGTTGAGTGATTCAGATGGGCTTGGTGATTTTGGGGATTAGCATACAGGAGTTCATGCTGTTTAGGAAATGGTCGACTTAAGGGCTATTTTGTTGACACAGGTCAGTATTGAATTCATCTTCTAGAATGATGTGTTTTTTCTGTGGAGAGCCCCTTCAGCTCCCCGGAGCTATACCGGGCTGATGTGTATATATTAGACCGTGGCGGCAGTCAATCGAAGGAGTTCTAAGCCTACCGGGGACCAGAGCCAGAACCTGGCCCCCCTCAAGAGAGGCACGAGAAGCAATGGCCTAAAGACCCCCGTGTAATTGAAAGCAGTCTTTGTCTGCCATCTACCACTTCAGGTACCCAGAAAGGTAGGAATTTCAAAGCAAACTACTGCTGGCCAAAAAATTGCAAACCGAAAGGCGAAAAAAACAAACAGAACTCCCCAATCAAAAACCGGGAAACAAACATGACATCATCACAACCGCCACGCATCCATATGTGCAACCCTTCCTTCCCCGGGAGGGGGATAGGTCCCAGACCTCTACGCCAGCAACTCTTCCCAGTTCAAAGGCTGTTGTGATGGTGAATGCTCTGGCTCCACGCTTTGCGCAGTGCTGTGTTGTTGCTCTGTATTGGTGGTGTGTGAGCCAGGAGTAACACAAGAGTACTGGGGCTACATGCACCTAGGGCTACCTTCCCTAGATGCCCCATAAGTACTGCCTTTGCGGCTTCAGGGTTATCTTCCATGAGCCGTTCAGGAGCGGCTACCTGACAGTGTGGTTCAGTCACTGCTTGGTGATTGCCCGCCCTTGGGGGTTCAGCTGGACCAGTCCGCCCTTTTGGCTTGACTGGTCGAGGCGGAGTTACCTGTACCTCTTCCTCCCGGTCTGGTTGTTGCTCTGGATCGTGGCTCGGTTGGAGACTTACCAAGGGAGAGTAGTCCTGTTGGCTCCTTAGTGCCCGGGCCAGCCTTGGTTTCAGGCGCTTCTGGCTAGCTGTCCGAACCTGAGGGTCTTCCCGCGGCTCCGCCAATTCCAGCAGATCAGTCTGGTCCAGAACGTGGCTGGTTCGATCTTCTCCACTCTTCGCATCTGGTCTTTTTGACGCGGGTGATTCACCAGTTGTATGGTGATCAGGTGGCTTCGTTGATGGTGTCCCTCCTGTGAGTTTCGTCTAGACGGCAGTATGAAATTTCCTGGCGGTCCTTTCGGAATTTTTGTCTCTTCGTAGGTTGTCTTTGATTTCTGATCATGGTTGTTTCGACCTTTCTCTCTTGGTTTTTTCAGGACCGTCATCTTATGCCAAATACTGTCGCCTCGTTTTGTGCGGCATTGGCAGAGCCACAGCAGCTTGCATTCGGGGTGGATGTCACTTCTGCTCCGTTCCGCAAGCTTTCTCAGGCATTGTTTCACCTCCAGTCTGCTCATGAACCGCCTGAGCCATCCTGGTCATTGGACCGAGTGTTCTCTTTTCTCCTCATTTGTGGTGGCCCCCCTTGGTTCAGGACTGTTTTTCTAAGGTTTTTTCTTGTTGACTTTGGCCTCTGGGGGTCGGGTCGGGGAGCTTCATACTCTCCTCCAGCACAGAGATTTCTGCTCATTCGATCCTGGTGGTCGTTTTGTTCGTTTGCAGCCTTCTCCTTCTTTCTGACGATGAATGAGTCTGCTGCTTTCCGAGGGGGTCCTTGGGTGGTTGATGATTTGTTGGTTCGGCGGGGGGTGCATCATGTTTTGTATCTGTGGCTCTTCACCGGTATTTGTGTGCCACAGAGTCTGTGGCAGAGGACACGCTTTGGGTTGACCTTGTTTCCCTTCTCCCAGGTTGTCCGCAGGATTATTCGGTCCTGCCAGCCTGCGGCCTATCCCCATGCCCACGCCTTTCGTAAGTTCAGCATTCGGCTGCTGTTTTGGTAATATGTCCTGGCCTATCTTCGGGCATGGGGCTTTTGGAGGTTGATCAGGGTCCTGGCTGCCTGTTACCTTGTTAATGTTCTGCTCGGGTGTGTTTAGTCTTGAGTCGCAGGGTGCGAACAGTTGTCTCAACCTTGAGTTGAGGAGCGAGTGATGACCGCCGCCCAGGTGAGTCCCTTTTTCCTTGTCTTTAGTTAAATAGCTCCGGGGAGCCGAAGGGTTTCCACAGAAAACCAGCGTTGAATGTAATGAAACGCCATTTTCTGGGTGAGACCTGGAGGCTCCTTGGCATCCCTCCCTCCCTCCCTCCGGTCAGTGGTTATCGCATTTTTGATACTCGGCCTCTGAACTGGGGAGAGTTGCCAGCGTGGAGGTCTGGGCCCCCTTGTCCCCCTCCCGGGGAGGGGGGTTGCGCAGACGGATGCGCAGCGGTTGTGGTGACGTCATGTTTGTTTTCCAGATTTTGATTGGGGAGTTCTGTTTGCTTTTTCGCCTTTCGGTTTGCAATTTTTTGGCCAGCAGTAGTTTGTTTTGAAATTCCTACCTTTCTGGATACCTGACCTGGTAGATGGCAGACAAAGACTGCTTCCAATTACACGGGGGTGTCTTTAGGCCATTGCTCCTTGTGCCTTTCTTGAGGGGGCCAGGTTCTGGGTCTGGTTCCTAGTAGGCCTAGAACTCCTTCGATTGACTGTTGCCCCGGTCTAATATATACACATCAGACTGGTATAGCTTCAGGGAGCCTCCGGGTCTCGCCCAGAAAATGGCGTTTCATTACATTCAATGCTGTTTTTTTTTTTTTTAGTTTGACATTTTATTATATATGAATGCAAGGATAGGTTTGGGAAGCAGAATCTTAGAGAGGAGTCTTGAATCTATTGGAAATATTCAACATATGATTTTATTAAGCCTCTCCCCAAAAGGAATTGTGAAGAAAATGGAAATACCATAATAATACCATTCAGTGCCATTATTAATGGCATCTTTGGTGTGTATGGGGTTAAGAGCAGAAGTGGTGAACCAGGAGTGGGAAATTTCAAGGATATCATGATTTGAGTGGAGAATTGGGGACACTGAACCTTCTCATTTGAGACTGGGTCTTGACTGTTGAGTGAAAGAATGTGGTGATGGTGTGTATGGTGTGTGTTCCCCAGAGCAAAGTATAGAAATTTACCCCTCAATGACTTGGCTAATTAAAACTCCTACATTATGGTGCACATGACAAAATAGTTCACAAAACTAATATAAAACATTTTGGCGATTTGAGCACAGGAGGTAATCTTAAATAATGACTGGATCACAGGAGGTAATTGTAGATAGTGATTGGAGTTGTTTAAGGGTTAGTGGGAAGGTAGCCATTGTTCTTGAAGGCAAAGATGTATAAAGATTTCTTAGAAATATTCCAGGAGGTAGACGGGTATTAGAAGAGGTGTGGTGTTAGGCATATGTATGTTAGCATTTGAGAGGTGTGAGCTCTAAAAGGGAATAAGATGAAAGAGAAGAGATCGATGGATGATTAACACTTTCGCGCCTTGGGCATGCGCTCCGCAAACTTTAAAACTTTAAGGTCATGTCCCCAGTGTGCGGGGAAGCGTGCGGTCGAGCTCGCGGCGACACTGAAATGTGTATACTGTACTCGTTTCAGTTTTCTCACCTTAATTCTCGTGTTACGTTGTTCGTTTTGGTATCATTGTGTTCGCAATTAAATTCCCTGCAGGTGTATATGCATATAATATCCAAAAGCCTGGCGTGACTCTCCACAGGAAAGCCTAAAGTTACCCGTGAACAAGCACCAATTTGTACACCGCAGCCTAATGTGTATACTCGTTCAGTTTGATAACATCGATTTTCGTGTTACATCTTTCATTTTGGTATCAAATTGTTTGCAATATAAAGGCGCGTATTTTAAAACTAGTCCCATAATAATAGAGCAATAACTGGAATTTTAACAAATATTTTAATTTTGGACACGCATCATCACAAAATTATTTATATCTTTACAGTGTTCTGACATAAATTTTTGTTACATCTTTCATTTTGGTATGAAATTGTTCACAATGTAAAGGCGCGCATTTTAAAACTAGTCCATAATAATAGCACAATAAATAGAATTTTAACAAATATTTTAAAATTTTTGACCAAAAACGTATTTATAATCTTTCAAGTGTTCTGACATCAAGTTTCGTGTTACATCTTTCATTTTGGTATCAAATTGTGTGCAACTTAAAGGCGCTCATTTTTAAACTATCCCAAAGTCGATCAGATAAAAAATTAATTTTATACAAATACTTTTTGTTGGACTCGTGCTTGTGTCCAATGCTCGGACTCGAGAGAAAAATTTGGGACGCCAGGGGTGCCACGAGAGTGCGAAAGTGTTAATTAATATGGTAAATGGTGCATTCTGGAGATATCACATCTCCTGTGAGGCAATATATTGTGATAGTAGCTTAAATATAAATGGTATAATAAATGAAAGTCGACCTGAGATGCTCGATTTATGACCTTAAAAATTTGTTATATCCCACCATTAAGTTGAACAACTTGATCTACGAGAAAAGCCACATATATTCCCTTTTGACTCGTTAAGTTAAACAATTTGATATATGAGAAAATTTACACATGTTCCCTTTTGACTCTTCCATGCCGACACATGTATCAAATTTTGGTGAAATTCATGAAGAATTATTTTCATGCTGAAACAGCTGTCACTACAGTGCAAGTTCTGTGCATCAGGTAGCTCTCCAAGCTCTCCCTTAAAGTCTCTCCCCATTGCACAAGGATTATGGAAGGTCTGTTAAATCTCTCTGTAAGCCAGATATTTTCCATTCTTAACTAAATGGAGTGCAACAAATACACCAACGTCAATAATCTACGGTACTGTAGATTCACTGAGCCTATTGTTGTATTGAACAATATGAAAGGAACCAAGACTTGTACATTGCTTGAGTGCTTTGCTACTGTTTACTTTGTTTACCAAGTTGACTCATCAATGAGGCTTCCATCTCCTCTCACTCGTTCTATTTTTCATTTACTCAATCTGTAGTGGAAGACTTTAACCCTTGAAATGGTAGACTGAGTTGTGTTTATCTTCTCAGGCACATCGTCCACTCCTCCCTCCTCCTCCACCACCTCTACACCAGTCATTCAGCAGCACACATCAGTCATCCAGTCCACCAAGAATGTCGTAGGTAGTGGGCCAACTTCCACCTCACCCGTCACCACTGAGGAGCTCAATCAGCGCAATGCTCAGGATCTCCGCGCCACAAGCCCGCCCAGTGCAACAAATGGAACCACTCCAGTTATTCATCCACCAGCACCCTCGGGTTCATCGTCATCATCGGCGTCGTCGTCGTCATCTAATTCATCATCAAATATGCATGACAGTGATACAGAGATGGAATGTATGGAAGCAAATAGTCACCATTTACAAGATTTTAACAACAGCCTTGGAGATACCAGTCACAGTAATGGATTTTCTAATGGCTTTTCCAAAGATATTGACATACAAGATGAAAATGAGGAAGCTATGGGTAAGTGACCCGAGAAATGATTGCTTAGTTTAGTTGTCCTAGCAGAAATAATTTCATATTTTGGATTTTGGTTTGTATTACAAGAAAAAATTATTTAATACTGTATATACTGTACGTGTATATCTAAATACTGTACTGTATATATTTTGTAGAGCCAAAACACTTGCATTAGCTAATACTGTACAGCACAAGATTTGACTTTATTGAGAAGTTTTAAGTCTTCATATTAAAGTGTGTGCTTATCTGATGTAGACCATGATAAAGTATGTGATACATTACACCACTTAGTATTTCCCGGTGTTGGGAATAGGATGCATGGACTAAGGCTTATCGTGGTCTCCCTAGGGCCAACTACTGACCCTCCCCGGGATGCAACCCCACAACAGTTGCCCAACTCCCAGGTACCTATTTACTGCTAGGTGAAAGGAAAATGACCCCAACCATTTCTGTCCTGCCCAGAGATTGAACACAGGTTCCTTGGCTCACCTAGCAGTAAAATAGGTGCCCTGGACTTTGGCAACTGTTGTGGGTTGCATCCTGGGAAAGGCGAGTAGTTGACCTAGGAGGGAGACCTTAATGAGACAAAGTGCAGGCTTCATTTCCTTGACAATGGGGATTATATCTGAAGCACTTTAAGGTAACTGTGTTTAACTGAACCAATTACCACTGCACCTCTGGATCTGTCATTTGTAATGCAGTACACTCTGAAAAGCAGTGCACGTCTTCTAAAACAAGGCTCGTACAAGTACTCTAATAAAGGTGAAACAAATGCAACTTTTAAGTAATTATCATAAAAAAAATGCTGAAAATTTTTAATTGACTCTGTGAAAGATGTGAAGTTTCATGCAAGTTTAAAGTTCATGAAGAAAATTATGTAAAAAACTCTACTAGCTTTTTATACCTGGACTGTTGAACTGTTTGGTTCATTAATCGTAGGACTTTTGGGACATGACAGTGATACTCGTTTACGTTATAGATCCCAGTACTGGTACTCTTAGTGACACGAGAGGTATACATCATTTACCTTATAGATCCTGGGAACCTTAGGGCCATTAGAGATGTACCTCATATACTTTATAGATTGCGGAACTCTTAGGGACACCTGGTTGATACCTGGTTGATGGGGTTCTGGGAGTTCTTCTCCCCAAGGCCGGCCCGAGGCCAGGCTTGACTTATGAGCGAGCTATATACCTGCTTGTTTATCTCATAGGTCCAGGGAGATGTACCTCATTATTTACTCATGGAGAATACTCACAGCTGCATTTCCAGTTTATACACAAATGAAGATTAATTGAATTCGTACTATTAGCGAGTATGAAAAATATTTGTGGTTCTTGGCAAGTTCCTTAGAGAAGCTAGCCAATCAGCCAGGTTGGAATGTCTGTCAGCTTTTGGATTGCACACAGTAAGAGTCTGTACTCGCCTAGTTTTTTTTTTTTTTTTTGAGATATATACAAGAGTTGTTACATTCATGTACAGCCACTAGTACGCGTAGCGTTTCGGGCAGGTCCCTGGAATACGATCCCCTGCTGCGAAGAATCGTTTTTTCATCCAAGTACACATTTTACTGTTGCGTTAAACAGAGGCTACAGTTAAGGAATTGCGCCCAGTAAATCCTCCCCGGCCAGGATACGAACCCATGACATAGCGCTCGCGGAACGCCAGGCGAGTGTCTTACCACTACACCACGGAGACTGTAAAGAGGTGAGTTGTTCTCACCTAGTTGTGCTTGCAAGGGTTGAGCTTTGACTCTTTGGTCCCGCCTCTCATCTGTCAATCGTATAGGTTCCTGAGCCTATTGGGCTCTATCATATCTACATTTGAAACTGTATATGGAATCTGCCTCCACCACATAACTTCCTAATGCATTCCGTCTGTTAATAATCATTACTTTCGCGCTCCACTATCTCGCAACCCATTCTCGCACTTGCTTATAGTCAATATCTTGCTTATGAATAAGTGCATATGTGACATACTAATGTATTGTGAATATTTGAGTTTACCTTGAAATGCTGAATAGAAAACCACAACCTAACCTAACCTTCTTAGTATGTTAACACTTTCGCCCGGCGATGACTCAGCATTGAGTCTTCCGCAAAACGGGCAAGTCCGGCGAGGACTCAGCATTGAGTCCTAAGCGCGGCAACAGTAGTGTTTTTTGGGGGGAAGGTTTTGCTGCGGTTTTGCACATTATATGCATATACGCTTGTAGGGAATTTCATTGCAAATACATTGATACCAAAATTAAAGTCCTGGGACCAGAATTGAGGTAACAAAGTTGAAAACAGAATACCCATTTTATTGGCGCTCACTGGGATTATGCTCTGTCACTTTCTCTGTTTGCTGTGGGTGCTACGCCGGGCTTTAGGACTTTATATTTGCATACTCCTGTAGGGAATTCTATTGCGAAGACAATGATACCAAAATGAAAGACTTAAAACGAGAATTGAGATGTCCAAAGTGAAGAGTGTACACATTTTATTGCTCTGGCTCGCTCCCGGGTAACACGCTCTCACTTTCTCGCCGGGCTTTTGGCCTTTATATGCATTTAGTCCTTTAGAGAATTCTATTGTGAACACATTGATACCAAATTGACAAACCTAGGACGAGAATTGAGATGACAAAGTTGAAAAGATTATTCACTTTTCATAGTGAGAAGCGCCTTGGGGTGGCGCAGCACTCTCTTTCTTGTAACCGCGGCCTGTTTTCATCATGTCGGTGGGTGGAGATCGTGGCTGTTTTTTATATTATATGCTTATAGGTCTGTTGGGAATTCTATTGCGAACACATTGATACCAAAATGAAAGACCTAGGATGATAATTGAGGTGACCAGAGTGAAAAGACTGAAATCATTTTATCTCTCTTGAGCGCTCGCAGGTCACTCGCTCGCAGGTCACTCGCTCGCACTTTCTCTGTTTGCTGCTGGTGGTAAGCTGGGCTTATGGAGCTTATATGCATTTCATCCGCTAGAGAATTCTATTGCGAACACATAGATACCAAATTGAATATCGTAGGACGAAAATTAAGGTGACAAAGTTGAAAAAGAGTATACACTTTTCTTAATTTACGCGCGCTCCCGTGAAACGCTCAGGCCACTTTGGGATAGTGGAGAGGTCGCGCGCCCGGTGCGCGGAAGTGTTAAGATATTACAATTAGTACTGAACCAATACCTATATTGATATTACAGTTTTATAAAAATAATAAGACAAAACTAAAATATTTAAATTAATTGTAAAGTAACTCAGGATATTGTCAAATTTTGTATAAAATCTTTATTGTTTAATAAAACTGAGAGGAAAAGTTAGGGCCTTGAAAAAAATATGGCTTGGAATATGTCACATATGTACTTATTTATAAGCGATAAGTCACTATAAGCAATAAGTCATATATGTGCTGTCTTGTGCGAGAGCGGGTTGCAACCCCGAGTGATTTTGGGCGTTCCACGGGAGCACACGGTAATACTGAAAAGTGTATACTCTTTTCAACTTTGTCACTTTAATTCTCATCCTAGGTTTTTCAATTTTGTATCAGTGTGTTTGCAATAGAATGCTCTACAGGACTAAAAGCATATAAACTCCAAAAGCCCGGCTTACTACCGACAGCTAACAGAGAAAGTGAGAGCGAGTTACCCGGGAGCGCGCAAGAGCGATAATATGTGTGTACACTCTTTTCACTTTGGTCACCTCAATTCTCGTCCTAGGTCTTTCATTTTGGTATCAATGTGTTCACAATAGAATTCCCAACAGGAGTATATGGATATAATGTAAAAACCCATGGGGCGCTCCACCCGCCGACGTGATGAAAGCAAGCCGTGGTTACCCGGAAGAGAACAGGAAGGTGCGCCGGGCCTTCCAATAGAGAGTGAGGTATTACTAAAAAGTGTATACTCTTTTCAGCTTTGTCATCTTAATTCTTGTCCTAGGTTTTTCAATTTGATATCAATGTGTTCGCAATAGAATTCTCTACATGATTAAATGCATATGAAGTACGAAAGCCCGGCGTACCACCCGCACAAAACAGAGAAAATGAGAGCGTGTTTCCCGGGAGCGCTAAAGAGTCATGAAATGTGTACACTCTTTTCACTTTGCTCACCTCAATTCTCGTCCTCGGTCTTTCATTTTGGTATTATTGTGTTCGCAATAGAATTCCCTACAGGATTATATGCATATATAAAGTCCAAAAGCCCGGCGTTCCACCCACAGCAAACAGAGAATGTGACAGCGCGTTACCCCTATGAGCGCTCATCAAGAGCAATAAAATGTGTTTACTCTTTTCAACTTTGTTACCTCAATTCTCGTCCAATGTATCAATGAAATTCCCTACAGGGGTATATGCATATAATGTCTAATACCGCGGCGCACCCCTCTCGCAGGAAAGCCAAAAGCAGGCCAAATTTTTTATTTTTTACGCCATACTTCGTCATTAGTCGACATTTATCTACTAAATTTTTTACTCCATACTTCGTCGTTAGTGGGCGATAGTGTTAACTACTGACACTAAGTTCTTTCTAATAGCTCTGTGGCTCATTTGGGCACTCAATTTCCACCTGTGTCCCTTAGTGCGTGTGCCCCTTATGTTAAATAGCCTGTCCTTATCTGCCCTATAAATTCCTTTGAGAATCTTAGATGTGGTGATCATGTTTCCCCTAACTTCTGTCTTCCAGTGACGTGAGGTTTAATTCCGTAGTCTCTCCTCGTAGCTCATACCTCTCAGTTCGGGTACTAGTCTAGTGGCAAACCTTTGCACAGCCTGTTTTAGACTAGGTAAACTTTGCTCTTCAGATTTTCACTTTTTATTAAGTAACTGCAGGTAAACTCTGTCTTGATAGTATCTACTTATAATAAATATCGGTAAACCCCCCCATTATATGGGTCCCTATTTTGTGGATTCTTGTATTATTTGGATATAGACATATTCAGTTCTTCACCCACTTAACCAGAGCATGTCTGGTTAATGGGGGTAAACCCCCATTGTCAGCAACGTCTTTACATGTTTTGAC